TGTGTAGATAATAATTTGTGTGTAAAAAAGAGTTGTATTTTGTACGCAAAATCTGACTGGTGCTGGTAGTTATGTGTACGTGAATCATTAAACGTGTTCCATAACTATAGTTTTTAAACACAGAGACATGACTTCATGTCAATCTACAGGAATCTTCAGTTTAAAAGCTTCCTGAGTTCATGCTGACAGCTTTTTGCTTGTCTTAGCATTAGCATGTTTTCAACACTATCTCATTATGTTATTAGAGCTCATCCACTAATCTTCATTACATAAAACCGTAGCAACAAAAACACAGAAGTAAAACCTGAATCAAAACCCACAAAGTAATCGTAATCTTACATTTGATCAAATGTTTGCTGCAGAGATAAGTGTACATTAGTCCCTTGTTTATCTCGGGGGATCTGTTTCCTGAAGCCCCATGATAGGGGGCTGAAGGAATATGGAACAGTATAATGTGTTTATATGCACATTTTGTTTGAGTTGATGTTTTTATTTAGCTTTGTTGGTTTTTTTTTTTGTAAATTACTTTTGTTTGAATATATTCTGAGCAAAAAGGGGCAGATATAAGATTTATTCTTCTGCTGCTGCCTTTCGTTTTATTTTTGATTGTATACATAGTTTTCTATTGTGTATAGTTATTTTGTTTTTACTGAAATTAATACATTTCTAAATAAATAAAAATAAAAGTGAAAAATCATGAATTAGTGAGAGACTACTGTACTCCCGTAGCTGTCAACATTTCCTGGTTCTTCACGTCCACGGGACAACATTACTGGTCACTCCAGATCATCGTTGTGCACCTCAATGTTTTATCGTCATGGCAGCAAACTGGTCATGTGACAGAAAATTATCCATAGTAACTGAATGTGATTTTCAGAAATATGTACATTTGGACAATGATAATGTTTTTTTTCCACTAAACCATAACGTAATGCCGGCTCAGTGAAGAGCTTCTCCCCGACAGCACAACCCATCTGTTCTGACAGGATTGTTCAATTTATGATTGACATGACATTAACCAAACAACTGAGAGGAAGAAAAATTGAGTCAAAATTTGTCCTTGCAGATCAAAGCTGACCTGGACCCTGCATGTAATCATTGTAAACAAACTCCAGCTACACTCGTGCACACATTCTGGACCAAACTGTGGACCTTTTGGCCATCTACTTTTGACACTTCTCTGGGATATGTGGCAAAACTGTTCACCCATCACTGTTCATCTCAGTGTTTAGGGTGGTCCCAGTGGATATGTCCTTCAGCAAGTACGAGAAGGATGTAATTGTTTTTGGCTCTCTTCTGGCCAGAAGACTTATTTTGTGCAGTTGGAAGTAGGCTTGTCGTGATAAACAATAAATCAATTAATCGCATGATAAATGAAAATTATCAACCTCATTTTCATTTATCAGCTTTATCGTTTCTTCGTGTCTCTCTCTTTCTACTGAAGACACTGGATGATAAAAGGCTCAACTCCGGTGTTCTTCACTGACCCCTCCATTTCTGTTTTCTCTTTAAAATCCATTTTACCCGTCTGAAATCACATTTTTGGATTATTAAAAGCAGCTAAGCCGAGAAGCTAAGCTACGAGCTAAGCTAACAGGCCGACCTCTGAATAAAACCTCTGTCTTGTTGAAGTTCCAAAATTCACGGATGAAACCTGTGCGTTTGTGTAAAAAGTTTTTTCTCAGCAAAATGAAGCTGAGAACTAGTTTACTGATTTTTTTTTTATAATTAAAAGCTTTGTGTGAAAAATGCTATGCTAAAGAGCTCAAACCACACCGAACATCCGCTATTTTGAGAACTGAAGAGAGACAGCCCATGTCACGTCAAGAAGCCTCCCTCCCATTTTTCTTAAAGAGACACGCTGCTCGCTCCCTCACTATCCATCCTTCATTTCAAACAGTCTTATACCGCCATCCAGCGGTCAAAAAAGGTACTACACGCAAAACAAATTAACTAAAATTTCTTCTTAAATTTGACAATAATTACTAATTATTGCCAAATTTCAAACGATATTATCATTTATTGCAATAATTTCTGAGACAATTAATCGCCCAGCAACATTTGTTATCGTGACAGGCCTAGTTGGAAGGAACCACATCCCCCAGCATATGAACACTGCATAAGAGAAGTTGAGCCATATTCATCTGGAAAAAATCAGATATACTTTGAAAGCAAATAATAAAGTTAATAAAAATAAATCTCTCTGACTTTGACTCTGAAAGGTTCTGTTAAGAGGTTTTAGGACACTTGGCATCCATTTGTATTGTATATTCAAAATATGCCAATGTCTGTTGAACAAGTTCATATCTATGCGGCTGATCCGGTGTGGGAGGGGTGGGATAGGAGGGTATTTTGTGTGTATGTTCTAAAAGAAGGAACATTTCAATAAAAATACTTTCATTAAAAACATTTGTTCTTGCAAGTTTAACCTCACAGATATATATATATTTGTATCTGTAAACAGACCTTCACAAAAAAAAGCGTACCTTGTGTAATTTTTTTTTTTTTTACAAATTCTAATCTTTTTTGCACATACAAATTTCTGTCTACGTGCGTACAAATCACATTTATTTTACAAGTTTCCATCCGTTATCTTTACCCACTGTTTCCTTTGTCGGGTCACAGGGATGACTGGTGCCCATATCCAGCCATCGCTGTGTAAGAGGCGGGGGACACCTGGACATGTCTCCAGTCCATCACAGAGACACATAGAGACAAACAACCATTCACTCTCTCACTTAGAGTTACCAATCAGCCTAACATGCATGTTTTTTAGTCTAAAGATCCAAATAAAACAAACCTTGTAACAACAAAACTGATTTACAAGTACAAAATATTTATGAGCAGACTTTATGCCACTAAGAAAAAAGACTAGACCCACTTTCCACACCACACAACATGTAATGTGTCTAATCGCCATGGAAACGCCGTTTGTGCATCACTGAAACTAATCCATGTTGCAGCGACGTCTAAACATTTGTTGTTGTGCCTGAATGTGAAGAAGTTCTCAAACTGTTGAAGAACCCGGTCCATGGCGATATGGACCGCAGGGTTTGATGCAGTCGGACAAAGAACACGTTAGCTGCAGGTCGTCACCCTTGTAGTGAACTAGGCCTGATGTCAGAACCTTGACCTTAGGCACCTTATGGGACAGAAACTGTCATTTCATTGATTTGAATCCAGAAATACAGGTTGACCCATCCTGAGACTTTCTTTCTTGAATTAATCAAGTGAAAGAAGACTACTTTTCTATTATCATTACTATTTTACAAATGTTTGATAATCAAAGTGTTTTTAGTTCAAACCATTTTAGATGTTGCAGTGAACTAATCATTTTTAATTAACTGTGAAACAGTAACAATGATTTTTAATCCTCATGCAAAGTTAGAATTCATGTTAAGGTCTGTTACAGAGTAATTGTGCATTTTCTGATTTTCTGTCTTTGAATGAGCAGGGTAAGTTGGTCCAAGGTTGGACTCAAACGCAGACAAGTGTTGGAACGAACTGTCTTGTTTTTAAATCCTCTCAGACGTAAATAGAGAAGCTGGCACCTGTTGGCAGCTGTTTTCCGCCAACTCGTCCAAACATTTCTCTCTCTGTCTCTAAAAACATTTTCAATCTGTTCCATAACATTCTTGCTGTTTTTCTGACTCCTAGTGACCTCTTACGTCACAAAAACACACCCCTGTCTGGTCGATATTGACCAATCAGAAACTCCCAAATGAACCGGAAATAGAGCCCTTTAAAATGTCGGTACTTCCTAGTTCAAACCAGTCGCTTCAGGCTCCGGCTTCAGTCGTTGCAGCTCCAGTGCTGGGAAACAGGAAAATCCTGACATGACCACAGAGCTCTTCCGAGTATTGTGGGATTATGACATCTTCCACCTCTGAGTGGAACTTCTGACGGACTCCACTCATGGGAAGTCCACTCGTGAGGTGAACTTGTGTCGAACAAGTAACGTCACTACTTCGGACGATTCACAGCTGTTCCTACGGAGACGCTGAAAGGGTGCGTTAAATGGAACCTGGTACCAGGGAGACATCTCCAGGTAAAAGAGTTGATTTATACCACCTAAGTGTACTGGGGAAGAAGCTGGGAAAACCCGGAGAGTGCCGTTCTGACGCCGACACAACATTCTCCCTCATCCATCTTTTTCTCCCTCTAAACTTCATCTTTCCATCTTTAAAATTCTTCTATCAAGTAGAAATCATTCCAGATATTTTTAGAAATGTCTGTTGTACAGCTGGAAGTGAGAAAACAATCGCCGTATTGTTTACTTCCTGTAAACTTGCTTAAATTAGCCATGTTGTTATTTTCCATATTTTGCCAATTAATGTAAATGTGTGATGTGTTGAACTTTGATTCTGTTAATAAATGACCCACTGTCGTTGGTGAGTCAAAGATAATTAACGTCTCACGTTACATTTCTAAATTCAATGCACGTATATTATACAGTCCAGAAAAATGAAAGAATCCGTTTAATTTATGAATATATCTCAGTATATGTTCATACTACACCCTCGTATGGAGGAGGGTTTTTCTTAAGTCCTTTTTAGTACAGAAAAGTAGACTCTCTCTGAAGCACTCTACACCAAAGCAAAGCTTTAACTGTTAGTTCAGGTCAAACTCAGGAACTTGAAGAGCTGCCTGCTTGTTTCAAACCAGCTGTGAGGAACATCTCCACGTTCCTGCAGAAACAGAGAGGTGGCTCCACGGAGAGCCATAATTTACCTGCTCTGACATGCTGTGTGGCGTCTTAAAGCCTGTTTCATACATGTGTACTATAAGTATGTTTGTGTATTATTACTATACTTAATATTTGTTGATTTTGATCTTCAGGTTTCAGCGTTGAAGCAGGAGCTGAAAATCATCGAGGATCAGCTGAAGGTCTTGAAAGGGACACGGTCAACAGGATAACCACAGCTGAAGCGGTGCAGGCCTCAAGACTGATGAACTTGTTGAATTCTTTCTGGTGCTGATTAAGTAAAACGTTGGTCTTCAGCTTGACCTGAGAGGATGCAGAACATGTGCCTGATGTTTGCATGATGTCCTACCGGCAGAAGGTCTTCAAGAACTGCACAGATAAATCATTTGTCCTCCAGGGGGAGTTGTGGCAGCTTGTCGATGAAGTCAAACCTAACACATGTTTTATATTCATTTACTCTCTTAGTAAGCAGTTAGTCAAGGTAACTGTGAAAATAAGTTTTCATTCTGAATGAGTGGAGGCTTGTCAGGACTGTAAATAGTGTGACTGGTGGTCTGCACTGGGCTGCATACTGGAATAATGTGAACAAAAATTAAATGTTAATAAAAGTAGCCAAGCTGCTTAAAAAAAAGAAAAGCTATGTGTCATAACACATGGACATTCACTCACCCCTCTGGTTTCTGGACCTCTAGTTGGGGAGGAAGGAGCAGGAAGCTAACTCTGAGACAGTGGGTGAGGGGGGAGGCACACCCTGGTCCATCAGCAGAGAGACCAGTTACCCAATTCTTTAAGAAAATTAATTAATTTTATATATATATATATATATATACAGGTGCTGGTCATAAAATTAGAATATCATGAAAAGTTGATTTATTTCAGTAATTCCATTCAAAAAGTGAAACTTAAATATTATTTCATTACACACAGACTGATATATTTCAAATGTTTATTTCTTTTAATGTTGATGATTATACTGTATGTTAGTATAATATTGGTTAGTAAAGTTAATTTCTGTAGATAGTGTAATAGCCTAGAAGATGAAGGAGATGGTTGTGGACTTCAGAAGGAACAAACACATTTCCACCCCTCACCCCTCCCTGAACATAAGAGGATCTGCGGTGGAAGTGGTCTCCAGCTACAAGTACTTGGGTGTGCACCTGAACAACAACCTCAGCTGGGACAACAACACCACCAGCCTGATGAAGAAAGCTCATCAGAGACTCTTCTTCCTCAGACGGCTGAGGCGAGCTGGTCTGGGAAGCTCAGTCCTCACCTCCTTCTACAGGTGAGCAGTGGAGAGCATCCTGTGCTCCAGCATCAACGTGTGGCATGGAGGCTGCACAGCTGCAGAAAGAAAAGCTTTGCAGAGAGTGGTGAAGGCTGCACAGAAGATCAGGGCTTAATTTGTAATCTGACTGATGCTGGAACAGCAGGCACGCGGGGGGGGATCCATGGGTCCAATCACATAAAGTGATGCATTTCTGCATTTTGGTGTATTTTAACAGGTTACACATCAACAGTTACTTACATTTGTAAACAATAAAATCACTATTTTGGAGAAGAACAGCAGGTTGAGTGCAGCAGCTCCGATTCTGTCAGATGTCCTCCCCCCCCCCCCCCCCCACTTCACGGTTCTGAGCTGAACCCTTCTCTGCTCCTACTCCAGTTTCAAGGCACCGTTTGAAGCACCTGAAGGCTTTAATTCTCTGTTGTTGGACAATCCATCCGTTCATCCATGTTTTTTTTTATTAAATTGGACTGTCTTTGACATTTTGATTGCTGCTGTTATTTTGACAAATTAGCTATTATTTATTATTACTGTTTGGAAAAGTGACATATAATGTGAATAACATCAAACATTTCTTTGTATTTTTTATTTATTTTTTACAGTAAGCTTTTTTTATTTATCATGTCTGAAATGTAGCAGTAGTCCAGAGACCTGCTGATGTGCGCGCTATAGGTGTCTGTGGACGTTTCTATGCGTAACGTGCACTGTCTGCAGGGCATTCATTTACTCTGTTGAATAAATGATCGTTTCTGTTTCGGGGTCTGAAAGGAGGGGAGCGGGGCCAGGTGTGTTTCAGTGCGCGGCCCCGCTGACGAGGGACAATATTTGAAGAGGAGGAGCGTGTAGCTGGTGTGCCACGCGTGCTGCGGCTGGAACATCCACTCCACAGACTGGTTCCGCAGGACTAAGGGCAATGTCTCCTCGTTGTATTTAAAAAAATAATCAAAATAAAAATGTGCAATGACTTTGAACTTTTAGGGGTGGAGATGCCAGATCCAAACAAAGAGTTGCCGGAACAGAACGGGTCCAAATGAGTGTTCCTGGATCTTCCAGGATCCGTCTCAAATTAACCACTGGCACTGCACACTTCATGTTCATGCTGCTGTTCGGCGTATTGTTTTTTATGCTACTAGTGCTTAGTGTTTTTAGTTAACTTTTTCTTAATTCATATCTTAGATCTTATTACTGATTTTCTTTTACATTTTGTATGTATGTATGTTTTATTTATTCATTTCATCCAAACAACAAATATAATACAATTTAAAGAAAAGAAAAAAGATATACAATCACAGAATTAAAATGAAAGGCAGCAGAAGAAGAATGAGTTCTTATATCTGCCCCTTGTCCCCAAAATATATTCAAAAAAAAATTACTATACAAAAGCAAGATGAATTAATAAAAATAAAAATTTAATACTTTTATTGGATGTAACTGGGACCCTGTGGGTTGCAAGATTGAATTACGGAAAATAAGCAGACACGTGGATCAGCTTTGTTGTTTCCTTTCACTTTCGTTCTTCTCACAGTCTGTACAGCATATTTTACCAATTAGTCTTAGACCGCCCTCTGGTGCCATTTCTATGCAATAACCTTTACCTCAGTTTCAACAGCAGAACACAACACTGTACATAATTTCATTCCACCACATGTGGCGTGTATGACAAATAAAGAACCTTGAATCCTTGAATGTGGGTTAGTGAAGCTAATTTCTTCAGTTAGTGTAATATGGGTTAGTGAAGCTAATTTCTTCAGTTAATGTAATGTGGGTTAGTGAAGCTAATTTCTTCAGTTAGTGTAATGTGGATTAGTGAAGC